TAAGCTATCAAAATTTCATTTTTTATAACTAACTTATTATAATTCGAGAAGTAGTCACCTCATAAATATTGTTTCTTTTTTAAACTGTTCGCATTGAATACAACAAAAATATGTAGATGTAATAACTCCCATTAGAATTTCATCAATTGATTTCATTTTCCTTTGTTCTCTGTTCTTTAATGGAGGTCGTATTCTTCAATTATCTTAAATTAAGTAACTGACTTGCTAATAAAAAAAAGGGGGAAATGGCGAATTAGCGAAGATTACTTGAGAGCAACAATAGAATCAATTATCACTTTCTATAGTATTCTTAGGAAAATATAATTTCTTGTTGGTCTCACCTTAGAATCATTGATAGGAAACACGTTTCCTAGCTTTTACTTTGCTTGGAAAGAATCCAATATGGATAGAAAATCAATGCTAGTGGGAGAATCCAATGTGGGGTAGAAACATTATGTAATAACATAACATACACCTATTAACAACTCATCACCAATCTATAATTCATTTCTCCAAATCCCCTCTTCAACAATGAACTATGGAGCTGGACCATCACACCTACCTTCTTCTTCTTCTGATGATGATGAAACATTTTCTCATTTTGTTGAACAATGGGAGGAGGATATGAAACAATGGGAGGAGGAGGAGGAAATCTTAGCTCGTCTATATGCCTCTAATAATGAAATAATGGCTTATTTCTCTAAAGAGGAAGAGAGGCCAAAACGTATCGGGTCAGTTCCTGGTCATTTGGTAATCAACCGTGGGAGGGAAGAAGGTAATTCTCGACTCTACAATGACTATTTTTCTGATAATCCCACATACGGTGCAAATTTATTCCGTAGAAGATTCCGAATGCAGAGGAGTCTTTTCCTTCGTATTGTCGACGCTGTACGAGTGTACGAGAGCACGATAACTATTTCGTACAGAAGGTGGATGGTGTCGGCCAGCTTGGACTATCTACTTTACAAAAAGTAATAGCAGTATTTCGTATGTTGGCATATGGTGCACCGGCAGATAGTACTGACGAATATGTAAGGATTGGCGAGTCAACGGTAATTGAATGTTTGAAGAGATTTTGCAGAGCAATTGTAGAAGTGTATGAAGATGAATATCTTAGATCCCCCAATACCGACGATGTTGCAAGACTGTTACAAAAATGCGAAGAGCGAGGTTTCCCAGGAATGTTGGGAAGTCTAGACTGTATGCATTGGGAATGGAAAAACTGTCCAACAGCATGGGCGGGACAATACTCAGGACGTCACGGAGGCCCAACTATTATTCTTGAGGCAGTAGCATCGTATGACCTATGGATATGACATGCATTCTTTGCCTTGCCAGGTTCTAATAACGATATTAATGTATTACAAGCATTTAATTTGTTTGACAACCTAACACAAGGTATTACTCCTCCTGCTCATTATACAATTCAAGGAAAGAATTATGATGTTGGTTATTATTTAGCCGATGGCATATACCCAAAATGGCCAACCCTTGTTCAAACCATTTCCAAATCCGAAGATAAAAAGAAACAATATTTTGCAAAGATGCAAGAAGCTTGTCGAAAAGATGTGGAGCGAGCGTTTGGTATTCTCCAGTCAAGATTTGTTATAATCAAGGGCCATGCACGGTTTTGGGATAAACGAACTTTGCATGATATCATGACAGTCAAGATTTGTTATAATCAAGGGCCATGCACGGTTTTGGGATAAACGAACTTTGCATGATATCATGACCACTTGCATAATAATGCACAACATGATTATTGAGGATGAACGTGATGAGCAAGAAGATATTGTCGTTTCTACTCCACCATCAATTTCAAATGTTACGTGATGAGCAAGAAGATATTGTCGTTTCTACTCCACCATCAATTTCAAATGTTGAAGACATAGGGATGTACGATGTCGAACGGTTTCGACAATTCCTGGCCCGACATAAGAAATTCAAAGACAGAGAAGCACACTTCGCACTTCAAAATACATTAATTGAACATTTGTGGGAGAGACACGTCAACGAAGTGATGTAACTTTTTTTATTAAAGTTCCTCAAAATTCTAAGTTAATGTATTTTATTTCCGTTTAATTTTTAATGTATTATCATTTCTAATTACTTCTTTTGCAATTTTATATTTCGATATTAGTCTCATTTTGAAGGTATCGACGAGACATTTCTAATGATATTATTTTTATTAAAAATATTTGGAAAAGTGAATCTAAGGTGGCACCCTAGGCTCCCACTAAGGACGCGGCCTAAATCACATCATTCCCTAAATTTTTTTTTACGATCCGCTCCGTTAAACTTGATCTACACGTTCTTAAACCTAAAACACACCAATTTTGGGGGGGAACCCATCGTGTTTTGACGCTTCATCCATCGCCTGCCAATTTTAACGGTTTCGAATGAATAGAACTTTTTTGGACGACTCAACGAATGGTCAAAACACGACGGGTTCACCCCCAAAATTGGTGTGTTTGAGTTTAAGAACGTGTAGCTCAAGTTCAACGGAGCGGATCGTAAAAAAATATTAGGGAATGATGTGATTTTAGACCGCGTCCTTAGGTGAGAGCCTAGGGTGTCACTTAGATTCACTTTCCCTATATATATATATATATATATATATATATATATATATATATATATATATAATATATATATATATATATATATATATATATATATATATATATATGGGAAAAGTGAATCTAAGGTGACGCCCTAGGCTCCCACCTAAGGACGCGCCTAAAATCACATCATTTCCTAATTTTTTTTGTGATCGCTCCGTTGAACTTAATCTACACGTTCTTAAACCAAACACACTAATTTTGTGGTTAAACCCGTCGTGTTTTGACCATTCGTTGAGCCATGTAAAAAGTTCTATTCATTCGAAACCGTTAAAATTGCAGCGGGTGGATAAATGGTCAAAACACAAACAGGTTCACCCCAAATTGGTGTGTTTGGATTTAAGAACGTGTAGATCAAGTTCAACGGAGCGGATCGTAAAAAAGTATTAGGAAATGATGTGATTCTTAGCCCCGTCCTTAGGTGGGAGCCTAGGGTGTCAACTTAGATTCACTTTTCCATATATATATATATATATATATATATATATATAATATATATATATAATATTATATATATATATATATATATGTGAAAACTTGTGTCAATTTATTATATAATACTATATTATACTTATATATTATATATATATATATATATATATATATATATATATATATATATATATATATATATATATATTATATATATATATATATATAGTAAATAACAAAAAATAAATGGGACAGCCTAAATAACAAAAAAATAATGGGACACAATTGGAATAATCCAATGTTGTTAAAGAGATTGAGGGGTAAAATTGTCTTTTTTGGGGAATAGTAATATAGAGTTGGCTGCAAATTTGGAGAGAAATCTCCAAATTTATAGCCTCAAATCCATTTTTGCAGCTCAGCTGTAAAAGTTGCTGCTCGGTTGGAGGTAATTTCGGCTGCATTTTGCAGTTATCCATCACGGTTGGAGCTGCTCTAAGTCACGCTAAAAAGAAGATAAGATTTTTGGAAAACCTTTTTCCCAGGTGGGAGTGGAAATTTTTTTCCATAGTTTTCACCAATCTAACAGTCATAGTCATCACACTCCAAAGTTAAAAATTATTTGCACAAAGTAATTGACTAATTTTTATTTTTTAATTTTATTCTTTCTAGAAAGGTATAAATGTATTCGAAGGTGGGTGGGTGGATTAGATTTTTTTTTCTTCTTTTCTTTTTTTACTTTTATTTTTGGGAGGTAGGGGACGGGGTGGGGCCATTACATAGACGTCCATAGTGCTTTGAAAGAACATAATATGCGACAGTAATAACAAACAAACCAATGCTTTGAAAGAACGAGTCGGTCCCGGTTTACTCATATATAATGATTTTATCATCTGTTGTGCTCATATCTCCCCCTCAAGAGCTAGCCTAATCGATTGTTTGAACCCATGATCGACATTCATCTTATTCAAAATATTATCATACAAGGAACAATGTAACAACTGTTAATTTTAAAATGTTTGATGTAGTACTAATTAGAAATATCTAAACTATGCTATTTTTTTTATACATATAGATAGTGTGATTTATGAATTTTAACCTATTGGGCTAGCTCACAGTGAGAATCACACCTTATCATCTCATTTTATCACACACACGTAATATACATATGTTATGGTGTTCTCAGTCACCAAAGTACGGTCATTTGCCAGCAACGGACATGTGTCCCCCTGCGTGCACAGTTCAAATCAAATTGATGGTCAGGAGCACCAATGATCCCGACTTAGCTGTAAAACCCCGTAAATTTTGAATATTATGTGAATAATAATAATAATAAATATGTTATATGGTGATAAATAACATATTTTGATGTTTGAGTATGCTAGGGTTTGATTTGAGATCAATCCAATGTGTATATATGAATATAGGAGTGAAATCATGCACGACATGCACCAGCTTGAATCTGGAAAAACGATTAGTTAAGAATATTTATGTTTTATACACAGATATAGTTCGAACCTGAGAAAACTCAAAAGATAAAAGTTGTAGGTCTCTTCAACATCTTTCCAACGTATCTTAAATTACCTCTTTCTGAGTTTAGATGTGAAAGTTGCAGTAAAAAAAATGAAGACATACACACACGGATTTTTTCCTGATAAGCCGACTTATAAGTCGACTTACACCAAGTCGACTTATAAGTCGACTTACAGACTGTTTCTAGTTTTCTTTCAGGTTTTCGGGTCGTATCCGTGTTGTTTCGATCCCAGACTTATATATACTAATTTAAACCCTATTTTGCTACACTTTTTCGTGAGAATACACCAGCAATCCCCCCCTCTAAAACCCTAGTTCAAGTTTTTAAGTTTTTGAAAGAGTTGGGTGAAGGATTCACCGAGAGGAAGGCGAGATCTGTGTTTATACCAAAGGAAGAGGTCTTGCACGCGTGTTGGAATGATCAACAGTGACGTGAGGCAAGATTATCTTCGTCCAAACCCATCCCCATAGTTAAATAACTAGTTTAGATGTTTAATATGTGTTTTCATACTTTAATCTTAACTTGTGGTGTTAAAAGTCAGATTTTTGATATAAATCTTAAACCAATGCTAAATTAGTAATCTTTTCTTGCTGTTTATGATAGAATAATGATCATGATATTTAGAGTTTCAATTATTTTCGTTTTAAAACTTTTAAACATGCTTAACTTATGTAATAACCCTAGTTTGATGTTAAATCTTCTTCTCATGTTAATTAATTATGCTTAAACCCTAGGTTTGTGATACCTAAATAACTTAGACATGTTTAAATGAATTTTATGTCTTTGTCCTTATTTATAAATGATCACGCTATGGCAATTATGTGATATTTCATGCCTTTATTGAAAATCTTGTATAATCATGTTACTAACCCTAATTAGTTTTAATCTAAATGCTAAATCATGTAATATGATCTCTGTGAATTAGTTGTACATATTTGTAACCCGGTTCCTATGTTCCATGTTGAATAGAATGAGTTTTGTTTGAGAAATATTGCAGAAAACATCGAAACATCAACCTAGAAGTCGACTAAGTCGACTTGCCACAAGTCGACTTATGCCAGGCATAAGTTGACTTACGGGCAGTTTTCCAGATTTCATGAGTTTTGTTTTTGCACTATTTTGATACGTGTTCGCGAGGTTCGAACCGCACTTTTGTACACGTACATTCACGCATACACCAATACAGTGGCGTTGCACACATATGAGTAACCCAAAGGGGGTTTCGACAAGAGTTGGGTTGTTTATAATAGAGTAGTGATTGTTCATACATTCGTTGGATATCTTTAATGAGCACAGCTCAGTGCTATATGGGATAATATGTCGATATACCAGATATACACAGTTTATGTATAAGATGGATATCGTTGATGAGCCTACTTCAGTGCTACATGAGGTAGTGCATCGATATTCTATATGTACAGGCCATTGAGTCAGGTTTGGATATTTTGTATAGTAGTCCGTCCGCACGAGTGTGCGATGAGGCTGGTAAGCCATCTATTTATGGTGACTGTGAGCCATCTATTTGGGTACCTATGTGGTAGGTCGTTCCGCACTCAGGCTATGTGCTGAGATCGCGATGAGACTAATGAGCCATGTACACCGTTCAGGATACCTACAGGGTAGTCCATGACTTTGAGACTGTTGATTTATAGCCTAAGTTTTAGGCGGATGTCAGTTATGAGTTTAACTCATCTTTGAGATATATGACCGAGATACTTTGCTCTTGAAAGTA